AGAGAACGGAGGGCCGATCCTTCACAATTCCTTGTGTTGAATGGCCCGCATGTATTTAGGGACGATTTTTATTTACTCAGTGAACGTTTCACCCAACAGAAACGTTTCTCATACGCAAAGGCAGAAGCGTTTCTGCCTTTGAGAACGTTTATTTTGTCTGGCTGACGAACTAGGCTGTTGCTGTCAGCGGCTGGTAGCAAGTTGCAGAGTCTTGAACCACGTAAGTAGACACAGTATTCTCTCATTGTGTCCACGGTGCCCCTCCTTTATTCTTCTCTTTCTTACGTATCTTTCTCTCCACTATGTTGTTATAACACTGTGTAATGTTTCTCTCTTTTTTCCGTTCCGCTGAGAACAGTTTCTTAGTCTGAGGCGTTTAAGAGGCACGTAAGTTTCCCAGTCTTCCAGTAACAATAATCTACCTCGTCCATAATTACAGTTGTCCTCAAAGATTTGTTAAGTTAAACCATAAATTAAGGAAAGATCCTGGACTTCACTTTACGAAACAGACAAAGTAAATGTGATAGTAATTATGGACAAGGTAGATTAAAGTAGGAAAAATGAACATGATATTAGAAGACGGAGGAACTTACGTGATCCTTAAATACTTTAATAATTCTATGCTGGCAGTCAACGACCTATGTACATTCAGTGAGGTAGTCAGCCTTGCTAGACACTGACCACACAACGACGTTCAAGCAGTGACAGCACAAGTGTCTTCAACAGCACTGTTGCTGGTTTCACTTCTCTCGTTTTCAAAAGCCTCGTAATGTAAAAAAATTGTGGCCTTCCGCCCATTTCTTGTCGTTCTCTTAACGACAGACTTTATGATACGATTCTTCACGGGTCTTTAACATTGTGTTGTCCTGAGGGACTGTCTGCCCGCGCTGGGTCCTGTGTGGTTTGGCTGCGTTGTTTCCAGTGCCTTGTGCTTGCGTGTTCATGGACCCCAGTGAGGGGCTCTTGATCCATGGAATTGGGCCTTGACCTTTCCTTCCTTGGATCGACCCTGATTGCCTTCCATTTCCTCCCTATCCCGCTACCCGTCCTTCCTAGACACCTGCACGATCTCCTCCCTCGTACCTGTTTAGTGTATTCCCATAATGACAGTAGCAACAGTTCCGCTGATCTACCTTTAGTCTACCTGGAGGGTATTCCGGGGATCAACGCTCCCGCGGCCCGGCCCATGACCATGCCTCCCGGTAGATCAGGGCCTGATCAACTAGGCTGTTACTGCTGGCCGCACGTAGTCTAATGTACGAACCACAGCCGGGCTGATCCTACTTTGTTTGTAAATTCAACAGCCGTCAGTTACCCTGTTCATTCCCTCATTTTCCTCATCTCTTATCGCTGCCTCTCTCTCTCTCTCTTTCTCCCTCCCTCGCTCCCTCTCTTCCCCCCCCCCCCCTCTCTCTCTCTCTCCCTCCGCCTTCAGCCCACTCACCGTCTCATCACAGTGCTTTGCCTCCCTCTTCATCTCTCCTCCTCCTCCTCCTCCGTTATCTCCGTTATCTCGCTCCTTATCAGACAGTCATTGTTCTAGAGTTTATCAGTAGCTGAGAGACTGCAACTCACCACCCTCAGCTTACACAAGAAACTGACTGACGCCTTATTGAACCAACTGGAATATGGAGGAGTCTAGGGTAGCTCTCTCTCTCTCTCTCTCTCTCTCTCTCTCTCTCTCTCTCTCTCTCTCTCTCTCTCTCTCTCTCTCTGTTAACAATGTTAAATAACTATTACTGGTATTATTATTATTATTATTATTATTATTATTATTATTATTATTATTATTATTATTATTATTATTTATTATTAACTGAAGTTATATACAGGGGCCCTACAGCGACTTTTGAATAATAATCATAATGATCATAATAATATAATAATAATAATAATAATAATAATAATAATAATAATTAACAATTAATAATAATTATAATATTAATACTAATAAACTATAACAATAACAATTTCACTTCAAATAACTGTGCAAAATATACACAATAATTGGAAACCCCGGCTCTGATCCGAGGAAGAGGCTAGTTGCTCCAGTTTCCCGGATCAAGAGCCATTCACTGCCACCAAGGCACTCATCCCTTGAAGAGCACATAGTGATAACTAACAACCTAGTTACTAACTAGCTAACTAACTAACAGCTGTTCTCCCACTACCGTTGACGTTACAACTTTGTCCTGACTTTAGTATCGCATCAATGATGCTATCAATACCGAGAAGTTGATGAATAAGATACATCTGCAGCATCAATAAGATACATCTGCAGCATCAATAAAATCATCTGCAGCATCAATAAGATACATCTGCAGCATCAATAAGATCATTTGCAGCATCAATAAGATACATCTGCAGCATCAATAAGATACATCTGCAGCATCAATAAGATACATCTGCAGCATCAATAAGATACATCTGCAGCATCAATAAGATACATCTGCAGCATCAATAAGACAACATCTGCAGATCAATATGACACATCTACAGCATCAATAAGACACATCTGCAGCATCAATAAGACACATTTGCAGCATCAATAAGACACATCTGCAGCATCAATAAGACACATCTGCAGCATCAATATGACACATCTACAGCATCAATAAGACACATCTGCAGCATCAATAAGACACATTTGCAGCATCAATAAGACACATCTACAGCATCAATATGACACATCTACAGCATCAATATGACACATCTGCAGCATCAATAAGACACATTGCAGCATCAATAAGACACATCTGCAGCATCAATAAGACACATCTGCAGCATCAATAAGACACATTTGCAGCATCAATAAGACACATCTGCAGCATCAATAAGACACATCTACAGCATCAATATGACACATCTACAGCATCAATATGACACATCTGCAGCATCAAAAAGACACATCTACAGCATCAATATGACACATCTGCAGCATCAATAAGACACATCTGCAGCATCAATAAGACACATCTGAACATCAATAAGACACTTCAGCAGCATCAATAAGACACATCTGCAGCATCAATAAGACACATCTGCAGATCATAAGACACATCTGAACATCAATAGAACACATTTGCAGCATCATAAGCAATCTACAGCATCAATAAGACACATCTGCAGGATCATAAGAACATTGCAGCATCATAAGACACATCTACAGCATCAATAAGACACATCTGAGCATCAATTGACACATCTGCAGCATCATATAGACAACTTCAAGCATTCATAAGACACATCTGCACATCAATAAGACACATTGCAGCATCAATAAACACATCTGCAGCATCAATAAGACACATCTGAAGCATTTAATAAGACACATTGCAGCATCATAAGACACATCTGCAGCATCATAAGAACATCTAGACAAGCTCAATAAGACACATTGCAGCATCATAGACACATCTGAGCATCATAAGACAGCATCTGAACATAATAAGACACATTGCAAGCATCATAAGACACTCTGAGCATCAAAAAGACCATCTGCAGATCAATAAGACACATCTGCAGCATCAATAAGACACATCTGCAGCATCAATATGACACATCTGCAGCATTAATAAGACACATCTGCAGCATCATAAGACACTCTGCAGCATCATAAGACACATTTGCAGCATCAATAAGACAATCTGCAGCATCAATAAGACACACTGAAGCATCAATAAGACAATCTGCAGCATCAATAAGACACACTGCAGCACAATAGACCATCTGCACTCAATAAGACACATTTGCAGCATCAATAGACACATTCAGCATCATAAGACACATCTGAACCTCAATAGACATTTAGCAGGATCTGAAGCCATTGCAGATCAATATGACACATTACAGCGCAATTAAGACACATCTGCAGCATCAATAAGAACATTTCAGCTCTGTAAACCTCTACAGCATCAATAAGACACTTCAACATCAGTCTCTTTACAATAGCTAACTCACTTTGGACTTATTACACCATTAAGCTTTACAATGAGACATACCAGCACAAGCTTATCAAATACAGTTAAAGCTATTCAAACTTCACTCCACTTTAACATTACAGCTTTACACAAGCTTTACACAAGCTTTACAAGCTTTAAAAGCTTTACACAAGCTTTATAACAAGTTTACACAAGCTTACACAAGCTTTTACACAAGCTTATACAAGCTTTACACAAGCTTTACACAAGCTTTACACAAGCTTTACGCAAGCTTTATACAAGCTTTACACAAGCTTTACACAAGCTTTACACAAGCTTTACATACACTAAGAAAGCTTAAATAAAGAAATATAAAACTTTTAGCTTTTGAAATGTGGATAACGTGGAGTTTAAACCACAAAGACGGTATGTATAGAGGATTAAACTCTCAGGAGAGTTTGATCCTCTATATAGAGAGGACTGAAGCCTCATTAGGACGTATAGAGAGGACTGAAGCCTCATTAGGACGTATAGAGAGGACTGAAGCCTCATTAGGACGTATAGAGAGGACTGAAGCCTCATTAGGACATATAGAGAGGACTGAAGCCTTATTGGAAAGTATAAAGAGGATTGAAGCCTCAACTGAGGCATATTAAGTGGTTTCCCACCTCTTTCTCTCTCTCTCTTTCTCTCTCTCTCTCTCTCTCACTCTCTCTAAGTTTTCTAGCACCACCAAAACTGAAATCATTCAAAGTATTTCTAATTCATCTTCAACTTTAAATTTTGTTATAACATCACAACAATAAAAACAACAAATTAATTATTACGGAAGCAACAGAAAATTAAGTCTCAGTGGCAACAGAAAATGGGATTTTTCCTGCAGCTGTAACAGAAAATAGGATTTTAGCTGTAGCTGCAACAGAAATTGGGATTGTAGCATCAGCTGCAACAGAAAATGGGATTTCAGTCGCCTCTGCAATACAGTAGAGAGAGAGGCAAGAAGCTGATTTATTATACAACAGCAACAACAATAGCAACAACAGCAATAAAGAATCATTATCCAACACATAAATAACGTACCTTTATTGACGTACTTGGCTCAGACCTTTGAAGAAAAATAGAAATGTTACTTTAATTAGGAGTAAAAGTATATTGAAAATTTCTTAGACACGAAATATACTTCAGATTCGTATTGTTATTAAATTACATTTCGTGATATGTAAACTGGTTTTAAAAATCTAAATTAGGGCCAGCCTTAAATGAGACACATTTACCATCGTTCGTTTAACTGCTGTCGTGCCAGACGTGTGTTGGCATGGTGGCTCAAATGGTTCTCTGAACCGCAACCTCCCCACCCATCCTTCAGAGTGTAGGCACTGTACTTCCCACCTCCATGACTAACCTCCCCACCCATCCTTCAAAGTACAGGCACTGTACTTCCCACTTGCTGAGTTTTTTCACTGTAATCATCGCTTCCCTACTTTTCAATGGAGGTATCTTGTACCTTCTGCCAAGCCTCTTGTCTTCGTACGTAATGATTTCGGTGTGCAGATTTGGAACCAATGCTTCCAGTGTCTTTCTCGCCTTTGTTCTAAGGAGTACAATTCTAGTGGGCTTCAAACACTCAGTAATTTAGGTGCCTGACTGAGTTTAAAGAAGCTGTGAAGGTTCTCTATACATTTTACAGTTCTGCAATTTAGTCTGGCTTGAAGGTGGCCGCTAGTACACAGCAATATTCTATTCTAGAGAGAACGAGTGACTTGAAGAACGCTATCATTGGCTTGGAATCTATTGTTTTGAAAGTTCTAGTTATTCAGTCAATCATTTTCTTTGCAGGTGGGATAATGACATTGTTGTGTTCTTTAAAAGTGAGATTTTCTAACATTATCGCTCCCAAATGTCTATCAATATATTGATTTACGTTCTTTTGAGAGATTTGACTTTGTCTTGTTCTCTGATCTTTTTATTTCCTCAATCCTTTCGTAACGTAGTAACTATAATTTATCCTCATTGAACATCATATTGTTGTCAGTAGATCACTGCAAGACTTGGTTTATATCATGAAGATTATAGTATCGTCTGCAAAGGATGATAGAGTGTTATGGTTTATGTCTCTGTCAGTGTCAGATATGAGAGTAACAAAAGAGAAGTGGGGCGAGCACCGTGCCTTGAGGAACAGAACACTTCACAGTAGCAGCCCCTGATTTCACTCTGTTAGTTCTGTTAGTTAAATATCCATCTTCCACCTTCCCAGTTATTCCCTTTGCACGCATTTTGTGTATAATTACCTCATGGTCACACTTGTCAAAAGCTTTTGCAAAGTCTGTGCGCACTACATGTGCACTTAGCTTGTCTTCCAGCACGTCAAGACCATGTCATAATGGTCCAGCAATTGCAAGAGGCAAGACCGACTCCTTCTGACCCCATGTTGACCTGGGTTGTGCAACTGCTGCAATTCAATATGACTGGCAACATTTCTTCTTTAAACCCTTTCAAAAATCTTGTTTATGTTTGATGTTAATGCTGTAGGTCTTTAGTTTTTTTTTTCAATTGCTTTGCTGCTGCCTTTTTTGAGTTGGGATGTGTTATTAAATTTTAATGACTGTGGGATGACTGCAGTGTCCAGATTGTGCCGTAAAATATTTAAAACACTTGACAATGGGTTCTTTTAAGTATTCGTGAATATGGCGTTACACGAGTCAGTGTTTGTGATTACAATACCTGCTTCTGTAGCTGTTACTATAATATCTCTACTGTTACGTACAAGAAGGAGAGAGAGAGAGAGAGAGAGAGAGAGAGAGAGAGAGAGAGAGAGAGAGAAGAGAGAGTGAATTAAAGTTAGATGAATCAGAGCGCAAAATTCAACACTAACTGAGATCACAAACATTACAAATTAAAACAAAGACAATCTTTCATCACTGAAACCGAGGAGGGGCGAGCCCGAGATACGAAATAAATCAAGAGAAGGTGGTGTGTAGGAGGCAGGTGCCTGGTCCCGTCTCTATCATTCAGCTGAAGGGATGGAACCCAGAGGATGCATCTCCCTTTAACGTTCACCTCTATCTCTCTCTCTCTCTCTCTCTCTCTCTCTCTCTCTCTCAAACCACCGTCATTCACATGGTTAAATAGAACGTTTGTATGAACCTTCAGCTCTTTCATATCATCGCCATTCACAGTTTCACAGGATGTTTGTATGAACGGAAGGAACATGTGAAGGATCTGGGTGTAATAATGTCAACTGACCTACATTTTAAAGAACAAAGTAAAGCCAGTGTCAGGACAGCCAGGAAAATAAACGGGTGGATTATGATGACTTTCAACACACAGTGCTAGTGGTGACACTGTTCGAATCGCTTCCCCTGTCTCTATTAGTGTTCGGTGTTGACTGCTCCTTTCAGGGCAGGAGAGATGTCAGAGCTGGAACACGTACAAAGATCATTTACCGCCCGCAAAGAGCCAATAAGGCACTTAAACTACTGGGAACACCTGAGTCTAAATACGCAGAAGAGATGAAGATACTTGACAATATATTCATGGAAAATACTTGAAAGACTAGTCCACAACACCTGGAGTGAGAGATATGTGAGGCAGTGCAAAATGCACCCAGTGAAAAGTAAAGGAGCCGTGGACACAATAAGGGAACACTGTATCAACATCCCGGGTCCCAGACTTATCAACATGCTACCAGAAGTTATGGGAAACATTGCTGGGTCAAGTGTAGAAGTCTTCAAGATTAAACTGGACAAGTATCTGCACCGAGTGCCTAATCAACAGATCTAGCACAGGCCTCGGCCACTAGGAAAACTCTCGAAACCCATCGCAGGTATATTAAAGATAGCTTACCTGCCCGCCTTCCACCCCCCTCATTCATGGAGAACAAAAGAATGAATTAATGCTATAGGGCTCCTGATCCAAGGAACTAGAGTTGCCCCTCCCTTGGGTAGAAACTCGTTGCCTCCCATTCCCCAGCAGCTGTGTGACCACTACGGGTTTAGCGCTTCCCCTTGAATGTAATATTATTGTCAGCACACAATACGCACGACTCCACAATAACATAGTTGCAACAATTCACAAATAACCCACAACCTGTAGATCGATGTTTAGGAGGAAGAGAGAGAGAGAGAGAGAGAGAGAGAGAGAGAGAGAAGAGAGAGACAGACAGACAGACAGACAGACAGACATATGAAGACATTATTGGGGCAACGTTTCGTTCATGTTAGAGCTCAGTAGAGACTGATAAAGCTCTAGCCTTAGATAAACGTTGTATTAGAGTTCTAGTCTGAGAGAAACGTCGTGATAGAGCTCTAGCCCGGAAGGAAGGTGGCATCGAGACCCTGACGTCCATGTTGTGGCTTTATAACTCTCCTCAGTCTGTTTCAACTGTTCAAAACATTGTTCAAGCCTCTGTTCATAAATTAAATCAGACTTTATACTATAGTCAGTCATTTCCTCAGTCATTACCACAGTCAGTCATTATCGTGGCCCGGTGGCCTGGTGGCTAAAGCTCCCGCTTCACACACGGAGGGCCCGGGTTCGATTCCCGGCGGGTGGAAACATTCCGACACGTTTCCTTACACCTGTTGTCCTGTTCACCTAGCAGCAAATAGGTACCTGGGTGTTAGTCGACTGGTGTGGGTCGCATCCTGGGGGACAAGATTAAGGACCCCAATGGAAATAAGTTAGACAGTCCTCGATGACGCACTGACTTTCTTGGGTTATCCTGGGTGGCTAACCCTCCGGGGTTAAAAATCCGAACGAAATCTTATCTTATCTTATCTTATCTTATCATAGTCAGCCATTGCCACAATCAGTCATTACCACAGTCAGCCATTACCACAGTCAGTCATTACTACAGTCAGCCATTACCATAGTCATTACCATAGTCAGTCACTACCACAGTTAGTTGTTACCACAGTCAGTCATTACTACAGTCAGCCATTACCATAGTCATTACAATAGTCAGTCACTACCACAGTTAGTCGTTACCACAGTCAGTCATTACCACAGTCAGTCAATACCACAGTCAGCCATTACCATAGTCAATCATTACCACAGTTAGTCATTACGACAGTCAGCCATTACCATAGTCATTACAATAGTCAGTCACTACCACAGTTAGTCGTTACCATAGTCAGTCATTACCACAGTCAGTCATTACCACAGTCAGTCATTACCATAGTCAGTCATTACCACAGTCAGTCATTACCACAGTCAGTCATTACCACAGTCAGTCATTACCATAGTCAGTCATTACCACAGTCAGTCATTACGACAATCAGTCATTACCACAGTCAGTCATTACCATAGTCAGTCATTACCACAGTCAGTCATTACGACAATCAGTCATTACCACAGTCAGTCATTACCATAGTCAGTTATTACTACAGTTAGTCATTACCACAGGCGGTTACAACCACAGTCAATCATTACCACAATCATTCATTGCCACAGTCAATCATTACCACAATCAGTCATTACCATAGTCAGTCATTACCACAGTCAGTCATTACGACAATCATTCATTACCACAGTCAATCATTACCACAATCATTCATTACCACAGTCAGTCATTACCATAATCAGTCATTATCACAGTCAGTCATTACCATAATCAGTCATTACTACAGTTAGTCATTACCACAGGCGATTACAACCACAGTCAATCATTACCACAGCCAGTCATTACTACAGTCAACCATTTCCATAGTCAGTCATTACCATAGTCAGTCATTACCATAGTCAATCATTACCATAGTTAATCATTACCATAGTCAGTCATTACCACAGTCAGTCATTACCATAGTCAGTCATTACCATAGTCAGTCATTACCATAGTCAATCATTACCATAGTCAGTCATTACCACAGTCAGTCATTACCATAGTCAGTCATTACCATAGTCAGTCATTACCATAGTCAATCATTACCATAGTCAGTCATTACCACAGTCAGTCATTACCATAGTCAGTCATTACCACAGTCAATCATTACCATAGTCAATCATTACCATAGTCAGTCATTACCACAGTCAGTCACTACCATAGTCAGTCATTACCACAGTCAGTCATTACCATAGTCAGTCATTACCATAGCCAGTCATACATAG